AGCAGTACCAAGGAGGTCCAGGGTTGGCCTCAATTCCGGCGGCGAGGAGGAGCAGCGTGGCCGGGAGGGGCTGCTCCGCCATAGAAAACACAGGTTGGAATGAGGGGAGGGTTGATCCAACATAGGGAGATTGGTGTAGCAAACCTTGGCCGCCGTGGGGCGGTTGGGAACGCGATGGAGACGAGTCTGCTGTAGTTCTCCTCGCGTACCAGTCTTTGTGGGTGGTGCTGGTGTCGTTTCACCCTGTCACCTAACTAGAGGATGCCCTCCCGATTTTTCTGCTTCCGTTAGGCGCGATCTATCCGTCCTCCTTATAAAACGGCTTGACGAATACATAATGGGAATTAAATTCGCTCAACCAAGTCGAAGACAACTACCTACTCTTTTCTGCTAGCTACTGTTAGCTGTTTGACTTAAATATGCATATACCTTACAAAGTCTTTTTTATCGCAGCCCGTTTTACTCTAACCTACTCTAGGGTAATTTCGCATCGTTTGAATCCCGAACAGCGGGTCTGCATCATGACTGGCAGCGATGCCAAACGCCTCCTCTCGAGATCAGATTTGGACTTGGAGTTCCTGGCTAGGTAAGCTGCATTGCTCTTCACAGCCTTTTGACTGACACTCACCGTACCTCTCTCTCTCTCTCACCACCTCCCGTCTATATTTGTGTGTCTCCCACACTAGCCTTCAAAGTCTGTCCGAGAGGTTCGACAGCTTGTGGTGGCACCAACTGCTCCCGAATCGGTCGATGGACCTGCTGCAGGAGGTGCTACGCCAGACGAATGCCTTCATCGAACGTCACAAGCCCTGGTCGGCCGGGTCGTCTCATCTGTCCCGAGGCGAAGTGCTGGGCGTTTGTCTGGAATCTCTCCGCCTGCTTGCCTGCTTCCTGACCCCGGCGGCTCCCCATCTCGCCTCCAGTCTCTTTCAAAAACTCGGCCTTGGCTCAAGCGAGGGTTGTAAACACGAGGCTGTTCGACCCCTCTGCAAGGGACAGCT